GGGGATGCAAGCAGCTATAAGCAGATATAGTAAACATCTGTATATAACTAGCATTTAAAAAAAATCATCAAATACTTCCATAGGATAAGAACTTCTATCATTGTCATTTTACTCCTATAAAAATAGACATTAAAATGTTATATAATGTTTTCATGGTCACAAGGTTGTTATGCTAAAATTTGCTTCAATTCCAGCATGTGTGGCTTTGAGCCCCATGTTTTTCATATTAGTTGCTTCTGTAACCTATATTCCTATAATATGTTGTAGAACTTTGCTTTCCTTTGGTACAATGCCAAAGAATCTTTTATTATGTGAGTACTCTTCATAAGCAAGTACTAAAAAGTCACTTTTGCTCACAATTGTCCTATGGTCTCCTAACACCCACTCTGCAAAGATAGACTCATAAAATTGTCTGAAATGTGCTTTGTAATTTTATCCTTCTAACTGACTAAGTCACTTTCCTATGCTTCCTCTCATGTTCATCTTATATTTTTTGTTCTACCTGGAATGCATGATTGGAAATGGCACAATACCACTGGGCATTGTGACTCAAAGCTTTCCTTTCTCTATGAAAATCGTATGATTTGATTTTTGCAGGAAGACTTATGCAGAACTTTGCCTCTGTTATAATTGCTTCATGAGCATTTATAAAAAATATGGTTCTGTCACCAGCTCTAACACACGTTACTGAAAATCTTGCTTCTTCACTGGTACTTTTGGAATGAGAGCAGGTTCTCTACATCAAGACTCCTGTGAAGATTAAATAAGCCTGCCTGACCAAAAGACTGTCACACAGGGTATGTTCCTAAAAGTGTCAATTACTGTATTTTACTATTCAGTCTATTCAAATATATAATTAGTACATTCTAATGTTTTTACTATAGACTTTCATTTTATGCTTCTGCATTTTATTCTTTAAAAATCTTTAACATAAGATTTATGTTTATGACCAGATAAATCCCTAGAGATTCCTTGCCTGGCTTATTAACTAGAATTCACCTTCTGCTGAGATTCTGTTTATGTGTTTGCCAAACCAAAGCTGACAAATAGTTTATTCCACAAATTAAAATAATCTTTCACAATGATGAGCATATGAATTTGTACTTAATTGTGATTGATTGGGAAGAAGTGATTATATGAGCATCTCTCTCGATTACAGAGAACTGAATTTTCAACTGTTCGGTGGCTTAAGACTTAGAAGCATGTGGCTTCTACTTGGAGGCAGTTTGATTGCACTTACAAGATCTTTCACTGTTGTTAGCTACCACAATGTGTTAGTGATGGTATTATGTTTACACACACACACACACACACACACACACACACACACACACACACACACACACACAAACACACAAAGCAGTGAAACTGAGACTCACAGGTTTTAGATTTGTTTGTTTGTTGTTTTGTTTCATTTTGTTCTGAGACAGGGTTTCTCTATGTAACCCTGGCTGTCCTGAAACTCCCTCTGTAGAACAGACTGGCCTAGAACTCACAGAAATCTGCCTGCCTCTACCTCTCAAGTGCTGGTATTAAAGGCAATGAACCACAACCTCACAATTCCACTTCTAGCTCTTGATTTATCAGTTAAGAGAGTAGGTGCTCTGTACACAACAGGAGTCCATGTTGTGAAACAAGAGTTTTATACATTGCGAAGATGTGTCACTAAGATTGGTTTAATAAAAAGCAGAATGACCAATAATTAGGCAGGATTTTAGAGGCAGCCGGGCAGAGTCATGTAGAGATGCCAGGAGACACAGAGCAAGCAGGATAGGCTGTACAGAGATGAGGGAATAAAGTTATGAGGCAAACATAAATAGAAATGGGTTAATTTCAGTTATAAAAGCTAGTTAGAGAAGGGAAATGGGATTGTCATGTAAAACAATCCTGTTTCTAATTCAAATAAAAAAAAGTTGGGGAAAAATGCTAGTTAGAAATAAACCTAAGCAATCCACAAAGACTTTATAAGTATAATAAGTATCCATGTCATTACTGGGGAGTCAATGTTCCCCCCAAAAAAAACACCAAATAAAAATCAACAATTGAGCAGCCACATATATTTAACCAAAAGTGAAATGTGAATGTGAACCAGAAGAAAAATGTGTCCTTTTAAAGCTGTGATGTCAGGTCAGCTTTCTTGGTTTCATTAAATGTGAGGAAGAGTTGAACATGTCTTTGCCTGATTTTGATAGAATTTCAGAACAGACAGCCAACATATGTGTTCTCCTTTTCTGCCAAGGTACATTCAGAAGCTCCAACTGAAATTGCATTTACCAGCAAGCAAACTACACAAACTTTCCATTTAGATTTTTGTATTATCATCCGATTTAGAGTTCCAAGGGTAACATTAGGAGTGAAGTAAACATTGGCTTATATGGTTAGCATTTTGGTTCTTTCCATCACATAATATTGAATATCAATTATCTAAATTATATACATTTTTGTAAGTCCAATACATGAAACAAATATTGGGTCTCTCTGTACCATAAAAAGTCCCACTATATTAACTTGTTTTCAGAGAAGAGCAACTTCCTAGACATGGATTTCTCACTAGGTTATTGCTTTGTCTGCACAGGTCATTGGCTACAGTGAGTTTCAGTTTGACCTCATAGCATCATTGTTCAATCTCTTAACATTTTGGTAATCATTGTTTATAATTTTTAGTGAAATGCAATAACTCCTGGGATATATACTCCACAAGAAGCAAGAATCTAGAAAGGTATCTGCCATGATAGTGGATCACCAAAACGTTCAGAATGATCTTCATTTCTATTTTAACTTTCTTCCTGATAAATAATTGATTTGAATGAGTCAGACCTTCTTTTCTAGTTCAGCACTCTTCTAAAAATATTTCTTCCTTCTTATAACAAGTTAAATTTTGCTTTATTTGTGTCATATCTTACTTGACTGAGTATCAGCTAAACTTCTATGATCTGACATACTCCAGGTTTTCTTTGGCTTCTTTTTCATAGTGCTAAAGTTTCACTAGGCCTCCTCATAGGTCTTAAGAAATGTGTTCTTAAGAAACATGAATTTTTTCCTATTTTCTCTTTTTAAGAATATTAATGATGTTAAAAGAATGGGATTATTTTTATTTTATTTTTATTTACCTATGATACATCTGCAAATTCAAAAATAAAGACATTAACCTGAGAATAATAATGCCTTAAGGAATGAATTCTTTAAAACATTGGCATTCTTCATGCATTTACTCATACAACAATTTGTTTTAAACACACAAGAATTTAGAGTTTTACTGTGAACAGTATAGCTCAGCAGATAAAGGCACTTGCCACACCAGCCTGGTGGTATAAGCTTTATCAACAGAACTCTTGTCAAGATGAAAGGATCTGTGTTACTCCCTTCTCTTAGCTCTGGTGTCATCATGGGATGAAGAAGTGGAAATACTGTAAGAGCCAGTGTAGTGGGGATTGCCCTGAGCCAGTGTTTTCCAGTCATAGCAGAGTCTTTGTACACACAATTCACAATGGCTGTGACTATATGCAGAAGACTCATACAAGATCAAACCAGCCAAAATTCCAGTGTGGATGAGGAAAAAAATTCACAGAATCCTACATAAAGTTGGAGAGCTTTTGGCAACTAATCATGGATAAGGGAAGCAGAATCAATTTTCTTCACGGATGTAGCTCCTGATGGGTTACTTAGGCTTCAGTGGATAGGACACTAACAATACTAAGTGGTCTCAATGGTTTTGATTTTGTTTTTAAGAAGTTGGGAAGAAAAGGTGATGGTTAGAGAGTGTGAGGAGTTGGAGCAGAGGGAGTAGGGAGTTGGATTTGCACAAAGTATGTTGCATAAATGTATGAAATTCTGAAAAAAATACATATTTTTAAAAGATGGAAACAGAGAAATGACTATACCAATTTTTTATCTGACCCTCATATGCATACCTTGGCACATATGTCCAAATGCACACACACACACACACACACACACACACACACACACACACACAAACATGCACACTTATAGTGTGTGTGTGTGTGGATGTGGGGGCAGTTTCCTACCTATTAAGGAATCTGAACTCATAGGAACAACAGATACAAGGCAGAAAATAAAAAAAAAAATGAACTTGAAAAATGTCAAAAGGTAACAAGATGAAATAATGGGTTGTGCAGGGATTCTGGAAAGGGGCTCACATCAGATTATGAGTTCAGAGAACAACACTTACATCATTAGCATGATATAGATAAAACTATTGCAATATAACCTCATCTGAAGCATATGTTGCAATAGGTACTACCCAGAAAAGGTAAATAAATAACAGTGGCAAAAGAAGGAAAACTGCTTAAAAAGATGGTTGTAGTTGTGGGGAAAAATAGTAAGCCACTCTGACTACAGACAGAGGACCTGGTTGGCTCCTTTATTTGTTCCACCCACCACTAACTTGCACCTCCTCCAGTATTCAGCCTGTTTCAAACCCAGTTAGGATAATTTCCATCAGAACCGCAGGGTTTTAAGGATGGGGTGAATCACATCGACATCTGATTCTCTGCTTTTGGCTCTGAGCAGCGTTCCAGGCGCAGAGATATGTAAGGCAATTCACTACAGATCTGAAAATACCATCACTCTGATATTCACTGAACATCCTCCCTCTTACCACAGAGTTCTTACTAATGGATTGAAGGCAAAGAAGAACTATTCTTATCAAAACCAAATTTAAAAAGAGTCAACCAGGTGAAGCTCAAGTGTCTTGAAGCTAAGTGCAATGCAAACCGTCAACAACCCTCAAACACTGAGTTTGAGCTTCTCATCTGTGTGAGAGGGCAGTTCTTGAGCCTCTTTGTACTGGAAACTAAATCCTCTTCACCTCCCACACATGTTAAGGCAAACCAGGGCTCTTAAACTGACATATACAGTCCAAAGGAGGAAGGAGAAGGTAACCAGGTTTCTATAGAATCTTACACGTACATATTCCTCAGACAAGATTTTGGAAAGTTTCATTTCTGTGCCCTTCAAAGTCAGAATGGCACACTTACCTAGGCGTTGGTCTCTGTCCTTCTACATAGTCTCATGTCACATTCTTAGTCCTTCTGTTGTGTTTGCTAGGCCACAGACCTGGAGGCTCCACAGCTGCAGTCTGTTCAACTAATCAGTACAGGAGGGTAGTCTGCAGACCTGAGAAGAGAGCCATCACCTCTTTTGGTGCATATTTAACTAACCAAGCACTTAATTTCCAGAGAGAGAAACAATACATGTTTTAAACATATGCGAATTATACAAAACTGTGTTCGTCTTTAAAGGAGCAGAGGGAGCAAAATAAACAAAGGATTTTTGCCACCTTCAATCAGATTCTTGAAAAAGAAAATATAATATGTATGTGTCAGTAAAGAAAATAGTGTAAATGCTGGAAAGGGATTGGAGAAAAGGCAAATACCGGTACCTGAGTTGAAAGTCTCCTAGGGAACCCCTTTAGGTGATGACATAAATAACTGTTCCCCAAGGCCAGCCTTCCAAGATCAGTCAGTTTATTAACACAAGGGTTTTGAGGTTCCTTATTTATTGTCTAGGCTTTTGTTGTGTTTCATCTGTAACTAAAATATATTGGACTCTCCCCCTCACACTTTTTGATTTGAACCAAGGTTATGAAAGTAATTTGAATTGTATATGAGCCGTTTTACATCCTCATGAAACCTTTCAATATGACACATTTGAAAGTGAATGATTATGTGAAGTATGTTCAGAATAGCAAAGCCTCACCAGGAAATGTGAATTGCGTTGCTGACATTTATCCATAAATTAATTACTCGGATGCTCATGCATATGCAGAAATGATTGAAATTTCCCCATTAGTTAATTGCTGATCAAAATTCTATTAGAATTTGGGTACACATCATTTGGTCATTATTTTCTTAGATGGATTGTATTTTGTAAAATAAAATGAGTCTCTGGAGTAACTGGGAAAAAAAAACCCACTACATTTTACAATTATCAGATAAGGTCCAACGTGATAAATATTACCTTTACAACATCGGGGAAGCAATATTTATAAAAAATAAACTGTAAACTAAGCATGATTTCATTTTATAGGGAATTAAAGCCATAAATCAATTTGTGGTTGCGTCTGTTCCCAAAAGCTATTGTTCTTTCATATCCTGTTTCTAAGGAAGTGATACATACAACCCCACTGTGCTTTCTAGGGCTATTTGGGAAGCCAGTGTGATAACACATATGAACATACTTTGAAGTACTTAGGAGAATGTGTGTGCATATGTGTGTGCGTATGTGTGTGTGTGTGTGTGTGTGTGTGTGTGTGTGTGTATTTATATATTCATGTGAGTTTGACTGACATTGTTTTGAGGAGCTACAGAATGAGATGTTTACCTCCTAGTTAAATAGAACCTCATAAGAGTTTCAATAAGGAAAACAGAAAATTATTGTATCTGATGATTAAGGTTATTCAAAAATAGTACCTGATACTTTGTCCTCCCCACTTCATTATTTTTTATTACTGAATTAAGTCATCCGAGTCATGATTCACTGCCACGTGTTTGTAAGTCTTGAGCCTAAGCTCAAAAACACAATGTCTTATTCTGCTTAAGTCAATGACTGTCTAGAGCTAACAAATTACATGCTTAGCATTCATTTCTAAAAGCCATTTTGGTTTTTCAATCTTAATGATGTTATTCAATTCCCTAGTTCACCCCTAAATAAAGAGGAACAATGATGTCAGTTATCAGAAGCCACAGACAATCCATTGATCCAGCCATCAGAATAGGCAGTTGTGTGCCATAGGGACAATTGTGAGGATTACAGTTATGTGACTGTAACTGAGTTTGTTTGTTTGTTTGTTTGTTTTGTTTTGTTTTGTTTTGCCCCCGTGGCTTTAGCACATTTTTGAAGGGGAGTTCCAGCTGAGACCAACCCCGAAGTTGAGTTGTGTTTATTCATGGTTTCAAGGTCACCAATAGTCAGAAAACGAATGCAGATTAATATGGGGAATTGAATTTAATTCAAATTACCCTGGAGAAATAGCTCTGGGAATGGATGCTAAGACCATTTGTCTAACAGTTCCTTCTGTGCTTGCTCATGGTGCACCTTATCTACAGTAATATTTTCACCAAGACAAATAAATAATCCAGAAGATGACACATCATTTTAAAAGACCAAAAGCACAGACTGTGTATGTTTACCAGCAGCAACTAGAATAATAGCTGGAAGGAGCAGATGTGGCTTAAATTTTGCTTCTACAAATGAACCCCTTAGAACAATCTCACATTAATCATTTCAGATTACCGCTTTGAAAAATGTCAGATAAAATTAGAGAGTGGATCTTGGAAATGGGCTGACATAAAGTGGTGTAATCCCGTTCACACTTTGGAGCATAGTTTACATGGCTGGAGAAGATTTTATAGGTATTTAGTAATACACAAAGCAAGAGTGCATGCTGCCTCCATTTGAGTCTTTTGATTAAGAACTTTATTTCTGTGTACTTTCTTTTGTTCAAAATCAATCTCCCCCACCCTCTTTTCTCTTTAGCAGGCTGTCCAGCACTACCTGTCTTCTCTAAGGCTGAATGAGTATTCTTGTTTAATCAGTTGCTCGTGAAATAAACTATTAGGTTTCAAACCTTGAAGAAATGGCTGAGGTGCCTACTTAATATGTGGAAGTGAACCCGGCTGCCAGGTCCCAGCTGCATCCCTCAGTCCCTGTTACAGGGCCCTCCTGGAAGGCATACCCACCCTCTAACTTAAACTCTCCACTCTCTTCCCTAGATAATCCAACCATGTCGGTTACCTGCTCTTTTTGTCCCTTTGGACCTCCCAGCCTCTGTTGCACCTGGTTCTTTCTCCCACCCCTCAATCCCCACATGCTGTAGCTTCCTTGCCATGTCCACTCTGGACTCTCTCAGATGTCCCTGCCTCTTACGATGCCTCCCTTTTAAACAAATAAACCTTCTTCTCCACCATACCGAAGAGCAGTCATATTTCCTTTCCTTTTTATATTTGTTTTATCATTCATAAAGGACCTGAGTTACAGACACTTAGGGCACAGTCATCTGAGCTCTCCTTGGGAATCCACTTGTGAGTCCTTCACATTTCATAAACACTGATCAGGGCCCAAGAAGAGCTCCTATCAGCCTTGTCCTTCATTCAACAAGAACTGTCATTAAGTTCATGAGGAAAGTGGACTTGAACCTTCCTTCAAAAGGTAAAACTGTGTAGTGACAGGTGAGAGGTATGATAAATGAACATGCCAGGTCCCTTCTCTCAGGTATGTAATAAAGTTTTGCTGATACCATTTTGCTAATACCAAGAACACTGAGTACTGTTCTGCTTTTTGTTATTTCAACTTGTAGTTTCAAAGACACCTTCAAAATGTGAGTCACTTGTACTAGTCACTGGTGGAAGGTGAAACCACTATTTATTATTAAATTTGCTCCAGAACATAGATTAGTATAGATCAAATACTATTAAAAGTGATACTCATAGGCCAAATAACAAGAAATTCCATAGATTTAATATCAATAATGTTTTATCTTGATTACATGTTTATACATTATCTTGGTTATCTTAGAATATAATACATTAAATTTAATTTCACCTTTCATTTTTGTTTCTTTGAATTGTGAAAAAAAGTTCCAAATGCTGTATGTGTCACATATTTCTACTAGACATTGCTTTCTATACTAAATATGGATATGATAGCAAACACTCACAGAGGCACCTGGTTGGACAGCAACTAGCAGATGAGTGATTTAATACAAATGTTAAAAAAATAGTTGGGCCAGTTAACACCTCTTTGAGCTCCTAACAGGGAGGCCTCAGGATTGAGTCCTCTCACAGGTACTTTGAGAAGCGGGTAATGAAGGGACCAACCACAGTTTTGACAGCCATAACAGGCTAGCACGTGCTTGCCTGAACTTGCCTTGGTCACTAGGAGGTCAGATGCCCACCTCATGGCAAGGAACCACTTAGTAGTTATCTAGCGGGGCTATGCTTTACGGCTCTGCGTGTGCTTTACTGACAAGGGAGCAGCAATGATGCCTAGAGCATAGCAACTGCCCTACGAGGGCCCATGGGCCATAACAACCAGTTGACCAATCAATACAGGGCAAACCCTCCAAGCCTGGAGGCACACCAATCCTGAGACTGTACATACCTCTAGACACTCCCCTTATGCTACCCTATAAGATCTCGGTCCCATGGTTTCTCAGGGTCTTTCCCCAGCCGTCTGCTGTGATGGATGGATGAAAGGCCTGAGCTTATGGGGTTAGCACGTTAAGCAACTGCAATAAAAAAGGACTCATTACTTTTTCATTGAAAAAAAATATTCCAGAACTATTACTAAAAAGTTAGGATTTGTCATGATATGTTTAGGTTCTCTTTGAAGTGCTACAAAGAAACAGTGGAAACAGTTTTCATGTGTGTGCCTGTGTACATGTGTGTGGGTGTGTGAGAGCTCATGTCTGTGTACATGTATATGCTGGTGTACATTCTGAAGTGGGGAGATCAGAAGTCAATGATCTGTATCATCCTCTGTTGTTTTCAACCTTCTTGTTTTTTGAAACAGGATATCTCATTGAACCTAAAGATTAGAAGTTCAGTTAAACTAGCTAACCAGTTGGCTACAGAGATGTGCCCACCCCCAACCCCTACCCAGCACTGAAGAAACACATGTGTGCTGCCACAGACCAGACCTTGTTTGAATTCTAGGAATCTAAACTCAGGTCTGCATAGCACAAAGATATATGTCCATGGAGATAGCTGTCTTCCATCTATCTGGACAATTTGAATATTTGGAAAATAGTCTTCCAAATATCAAAATAAATACTAAATGACACCTTATATATAAATGATTCTCAGACAAATAATAGAAGTGCTTTGCTTCTATAATTTCAATCATGTGTTGCAAAAATTAAACACACAAGAGGAGTTAAGGAAAATAACAGAAGTTTCTCAAAGATGAATGTAAAAGCCATACTCTGAATTCAAAAGATGCTGAGGAAGATGGTACTTTGACAATTGGCTCTATCTTATAAGGGATTTTTGAAATCTCTGAATTCTGTGCTAAAAAACGTAAAACATTTTCCACAAGAAATACTAAGTTATTGAGACTCTCCCATAAGGATACAATTCTTCTTTGACCTTTGACCAGAGTGGACAAGATCTGTGACCTTTAAAATAAAATAAAGATATTTTAATTTTTGTATAAGGAATTTGAAGTTTCAATATTTATAAATCTTGAATATGTTTTGAGTCTGCAGTCAGTAAATATATAGTGCTTAAAACATTTTTTCAAGGTAACTAGTATAATGGTCAAGGGAGAGGTATGCAATGAATTTCACTTAATAGCCTGTAATCTCAGTTTATAACATGTAGTCATACAGTATGTACCTACATTTTTAAGTCTCCATACCACACAGATAGCAGTAGTAAACTTGATGTTGAGCTATGCTTATAAGGTGAATGGACATTTTCTTGGCACCTCATCATTTGGGGTGGCAAAGTATACTTTCCTAAAAGTAAGTGCTATAAGTCATCTGAACACAAAAACCTGCCTTGTGCATGTTAAAATCTTAATAAGGAATTATGCCAAAGGTCAAACTGGTTCAACATGTTACAAGGATTACAAAAGTATGTATACTCACAGAAAGATAAAAGTGTTGAGAACACTGCTAAACTAAATACCAAACCAGTTAATGTCCTCTAGTATCTAGACAATAAAAAATGACCTTTGGGTATTTTTTATTTTTTCTATCACATAGAATCATTTGCATCTCAACTGGACAAAAATCATTTACAGTTGAACAGTTTTCTAAAGGTTAAAACTAATTGCACAGTCTGGAATCTTATTGGTAGTAAATATAAATCAAACCAATGTGAATTCTTAGAGGACCTGATGAGCTTGGAGGGCGGTGGGTATATTGCCATCGCCTTGCACCCCAATATTTGGAGACTTCTCATTTGTAAGAGAAATAAAATAAGATCTAAGAAATCCCATCTGGAATTCAAATGGGAGAAAGGATGTTCTCACTGACTAGAGCACGTATTGCCAGCAAGGACTGTGATACATACAGACTCAGAGTCATTTCTGGTAGGTAGCCATCACCTAGCCCCAGCTATGTAGAGTAAGGCCAGAAACTAAGTTTGTGTGTGTGTGTGTGTGTGTGTGTGTGTGTGTGTGTGTGTCTCAAGAATGGACCTTTGTTTCTCCGGGCCTGATTAAATTATGGCCAGGTAATTATAGCCTTTTCTTTACTGGTGTTACATGAAATTAAAGCAAGGATATGGGATATGTTCCATTTGAGGGTGAGGTATTTGTATTAGTCATGAACACAAGAAGAGCAGAATAGTGATTGTTTAGGAATTAAGATCCTTCTAATGGTAACATCAATACCTTAAGGGAAGATGACTAGGAAAACTAAACAAATGTGGAATTATTTATTTTCATTGTTGAGTACTAAAGATGCAGGTCCATCTTGGCCAGTAACAAGCAAATGAGTGTCATCAATTCTCGGAGACAGCTAAGTAGATGCACATCAAAAAACATTTGGAGAAGACCCTGAAAAGGGTTGGATTTTTTTTCCTTCAGTCGAGGAATTGAGAGCACAGAATATCAGTGCTTGTTGAATTGTAACATAGTACTCGAAAGATGAACACTGTATTCATATTGTCCTGAGATTAAGTCCTAATTCCACCTTTATGGGAATTTATTCAAATAACAAAACTATTTATGCTTCAGTTTCCCATTCATTAAAATATGGAATAAAGCTTTTCTGCCACAAAGATTGTAGGGAAAACTGAGAGACTGTCATCTATCTATCTTCCTGGAGGGCTATCTGTCTGTTTATATCTGTCGTGTGCTTTCATGTACTTAGACAAATACTTCAAAAACTTGAGTTATAAATTCTGTGCCTTCCTTTCCATGCTCATCTTTAAGTTATAGGTGTGATGGCTTGCAGACTACATGTCATTTTTGATTTGCTCTGAGAATGGAAAGAAGGGAAAATCATAACATTGTGTCCCTTCCATGGCAAGCCTTTTGACAGATGTAGTATTGGCATAGAGAAGTATTAGCTCCCATGTGCTCCGGCAATGCTACTACATGGAGACAGTCTCCAGCCAAGTAATGGCCCAACAGGACTAAGCCTGGGATAATATCAGCTCTGGGCCAATACCTGTATTCTGTTCTCTTTTGTAACTAATTACCCTTCACCTGAAATACCTAGTTTGTGTCCTTCAGACTGCACACAGGAGCTTCTGCTGTTGTCAATATCCATTGCAACAGTATTGTGATACCCTCAGAAACACTTTCCAGGAACTGAAACTTCTCTCGGCATAACCTCCCTACCCTGCTTTTGCAATCTATGTCTCCCAGCCTGTTCCACACAGACTTTTTCCTTATCCTAGAAGTGCATATAGGGGTGATTAGCAGTTACACGAACTGGTTTCATTTAACTCCCCTGTAGGTTTATCTTCATCTCCAATCAATAGCCTAATGGGAGGAGAGATTTAGTTCATTTGAAGTAAGTCTATGATGGCTGACATTTTGGAATACAGATTTTTGGACAATTAGAAAGATGTACAATCAATAACAGGAGAGTCCTTCTGTGCTGCGAAGCAAACTTGTCTAGAAATATTGTGTGATTTACCTTTAGCACATTATCTCTTCAGCTCTTTATTGATTAGCCATGACTAATAACTGTTTGAAGGAGAAAATATATACCCCACAGACAACATTGTCTCACAGCGAAGCAAAGGTAGTTTGATTCTAATAGCTGGTCTATCTGGGTACAGGCACATGGTCAATATAGTCAATATTTAAAATATACATTTATAAGAGAATTTGTGATTGTGAGGACTTAGAACTGGAAAACAGTTCAGAGAATGTTCTAGAAAAATCAGTATTGAGAAGAGGGAGTATATTTGTCATAACAGTGAATTTAATTAGCATCATCATGGTGATAAGTCTGTTCAATTCTCTTTGATTCTGATTCCCCTCTTTCTTTTTTTATGGGTTTCATTGTGTTTTTAAATGGTTATGTCCATCATTCTTCATTGTCTTCCCGAGTTAGGCTCTGGAGAGCACATTTGCTGAACTTGTCACCTTTATGCTGGCTTGTGCTTCCAGATAGCAGGCTCCTTGTTATGCAGTTAGACCTATAAATAGCTGGGCACTGAACCTGTTAGCTAGAATATCTGTACTTTAAACAACTCTTTTTTCTGCAACATTTTTAGAAAGTATGCTTTTGGGTAGGTTTATCTTTGCATTAATAAACTAGAGCATATAAGGGCACAAAACATGAATACAAATAAAGATTTGATATTCAAGTGCAGCATGTACAATCACCATCATTGTCACAGTCTCACCTCTTGGGATATCAGATCAGTACACACTTGAGACAGTCTATTACTTTCTGAATGCTGGACAAAGAAATACATGTAGCTCCTGGGATGTAATTTGAAGAGTCATGGACAGGGAGAGAGAGCAAAATAATAGCATTTAAGTTCTAAAATCAGAACATTTCTATTAAACCTATAACCCTTAATCCTCCCCATCTCTTCCCTCCCTCCCTTCCTCCCTCACTGTCTGCTTATTTGCCCCTAATTTACCCCTCCTCTCTCATCCTTATCTTCATCTTTTGTTCTTTTAGTTCCCCCCATGTACACACAAATAATTCATAAGGAAAGTTGTAAATATTGTAACATAGCAGCATCCATCCATTTGTTTACCTTCTAACTCTGGCTGCTTCATCTACTTCTGAAGTTGCTTAGTTATAGAGACAGAAACCTAAGGCTACACAATGTATGATAATGAGCATTTGGCACTTTACAGGAAATATTTGCTGACCTCCATTTTAGAGTATGCTAAAAAACGATAGACATATCTCTCCTTTTTCCTTTAGCTTAAAATACATCACAGAGTACATAATACTCAGATTTTGGCTAGCAGTATGCCACAAACCAGAAAAATAAACACCAAATATGAACATAGGCATAACAATAAGACAAAAGAAACAAATGACAACCTTCCCAGGAGCCAAAGCTGGACCAAGTTGAGAAAGGTAAGAAATGCTTAAACACATAGGGTTCTAACTCAAAATACAAATACATCTTCATGAATCCATGCTAATATAAAGAGATGCCTGATTAAAGAAATAATGGAGATACCAGACACACTTCAGTACAGAAATCTGAAATCATTTATATAGCCTGTCTAACGTTTGGAACATGAATCATAACTGTCTACTTATGTCTGAACTGTGCATGGTCATTCACTTATAATGACTACAGCAGATTGGAAAAAGTAGTAACTTCGCAGTTGAAAAATCCAGCAGACACTACCTCAGTCAGACAATAAAGGCTAACATAAAAACTAGACTGACAGCTGGGCGTTGGTGTTGCAAGCCTTTAATCCCAGCAGAGGCAGAGGCAGGCAGATCTCTGTAAGTTGGAGGCCAGCCTGGTCTCCAGAGCAAGTGCCAGGATAGGCTCCAAAGCTACACAGAGGAACCCTGTCTCAAAAACCAAAAAGACTCCAAACAATACAACAAAACTGACAGTACATATTTGTGACTTGTACCAGGCTTTTTCTTTTGAGACACCAACCAGCTCCCAAATCACGACACAAAGACTTACTAGTTAATTATAAATGTTTAGCCTTATTTTAGCTCTTATTTAAATCTATTTCTCTTTATATATGTTATGCCTAGAGGCTTTTACCATTTCTTCCTTCCTTCATTTCTGTCTATCCATCTGTCCTCCCTTCTTCCTTCTTCCTTCTTTCCTTCTTTCCTTTCTGTATATCTATTCTGTATCTGACTGGCAGCTGCCTGGATTCTGGCCTGCCTATCCCTCTCCTGCCTACTTATTAGCCATTCAGATTTTTATTAAACCAATCAGGTGCCTTAGGCAGGCAAGATGAAATAAATGCAGCACACCTTTGCATAATTAAAGAAATGAAGTATAAACAAATGGAACACATCTTTACATAGTTAAAGTAATTTCCACAACACTCTTGAAATGATGTGATAAGATAGCTACTTTATGCTTGTGGTCTTTCTCCACAAAATACATAATCCAGGTTTATTCAACAGAAAAAAATATTAGAAAAATCCTGATTAAGAAACAGTCTACAAAATACCTGTTAAAGTTTGAATCTAACACATCTCCCAATGACTTCTCTATTGCAGGCTTGTCCTCTGGTAGGTAGTACTATTGGGAAGTGGCAGAAACTTTTGGAGGTAGGGACACAGAGAAGGAGATAGGTCACTAAGGACATTTCTTTGAAATGTGCACTTTCTCCCTGGCTAATTTCCTCACTCTCTTGCTCTTCTTGGTTGTCACAAAGTGAGTGATTCACCACCTACTCCTCTTCCTTCATGTTTCTGCCTCATGAATGTTTATGAGAAAATAACCAGCTGACAATGAACTGAAATCCCTGATACCATGAATCATGAAACAAACAAAACAAAACAAAACAAAAACAAATCTTCACTCCTTTGCATGAAGTGTAAAAATGGTACCATTGGCACCTGGGTTCTCTGATGTTAATGAACATTTTCATTGATACTTCATGACTCTTTATATTTGCTACTGTTATTTTTTTTTTACTCAACAGTTCCTTTTTGCATTTTTATTTCAATTCTTTAATTACTACTCATATTTATATATCCATCCCCCCATTCCCTTGCCTTCCCATCCTCCCTTGTCCCATCCAACCCCCCCCCAAACCATCCCCCAACTCCTCCCCAGGCATAGAGAGGCCATCCACCAGGGACCTTTAAAGTCTGTCATATCATTTGGGGGAGGGCCTAGGCCTTCCTTGCCTCATCTGGGGTGCAACAGTAACCCTCCATAGGGAATGGGCTCCCAAAGTCCATTTGTACTCTAAGGTTAAAGACTGGCTCCACTGTTAGATGTTCCATTGGCTGTCTTGGCCTCTTAGCTGGCATCCACATTCAGAGGGCTTGGTTTGGTCCAATGCTGTTTCCCCAGCTTTATGACTAGGGTCTCCATGCTCTCAGTAGTCAGGTCAACTGTTTCTGTGGGTTTTTGCAGCACCATCTTGGCTCCTTTGCTCATCCCTCCTCCCTCTCCACAGCTAGATTCAAGAAGTATGGTTCAGTGCTTAGCTGAGGGTGCCTGTTTCTGCTTTGAACAGCTACTGGATGAAGGCTCTAGGAATGATAACCAAGGTAGACTGTTATTAATTGTAATATAAATACCTGTGTTTTCCAATGGTCTTAAGTGACCCCTGTAAAAAAGGTGATTTGATCCCTGCAAAGGGGTCACAACCTTGGCTTGAGAACATTGCAGTAGAGGAATAATTAACACATTTTAGATAATGATATCTTGTGACTTGTAATAAACGTACCATACAAATACAAAACACTAATAATAGGAAATGGTAAATATGAGGTAGATTAAAATCTATTGTTTTCTGTAATCTAAATCTGTCAGTAAATATAAAACTATTCTAAAATCAAAGGTTTATTTTAAGTTTTGGCATAAAACACCTGAAATGTATTGGGCCTAGGCAGGTGTGTCTTCCATATTTTGAGGTAAAATTTATGTTACTTTAAAAAAGCAAGATGAAATGAACAACAAGCTGGACAACATTTCACTTCTTTCCTCTTCCCATTTATTACTAATGGGCTCCTATCCTAAAAATGCAAGGATTTCTAGAAAAGATAAAAATAGTGAGAAATGACAGCCATGCTCTGGATACATTAAAGTAATTCAGAAGCTCTGCATAATAACAGTATAAAAGGAGAAATGGGGATAGTCAAAGGGCAAAATCTACTGGGGACACAGTTAATTCAAATATTGTGTTTTGGAAACAACTCAAAAGCAACAAAGTGTTAGTACAACCTCTGGGAAATCGTATCGAGCAATACAATGAAATGACAGTTCATCAGTATTTTGGAGGGAATCAGAATAAGAAAGAGGAAATTCCTGTGTTTAAAGGAAAAAAAAACCACATTTTAAAGCAAAGTATTTCAAAGAAATAGTTACTGCCTGGTAGAAAATGTGTGGCTCATAAAACAAGGACATTTCTATGCCAAGAATAAAACGAAAATTGACACACAGTTCATCCTAAGCACAGCTGAAGTCTGAAAGCTTTAAAAAGTTACATGAAGTCATACAAAGCTGCTATCCACAAGGACATACATAAAGTGCCAATTCTAAGCCAATTAAGTATGCCAGCAATCTTTCTAAAAGGGAAACTGATACTGTATGAGACTGTGTCATGTTCTGTCAGGACAGGGTATCATTGGCACTCTAAACCTCTATTGTCAGAAACATAGAGATGGATCTTCATTTGATCTACAGAAACATAAGCAAGCAATTCAAACACTCAGGAACCTAATGGTATGCCCACCAAATGGCACATTGTTATGAATATACTTAACCAAAGACCAATACTTTCAAACCTTCTCCTGCATAATAGAACAGGTTCGAAAGTATACACATGTATAAAATACATATATATTAATTCTTTTAAATTTCATTTTACATTCCAGTTACAGTTCTCCCTACCACCCCTCCTCCCAGTCCCCCTCAACACCCCCCCAGTCCATCCCCAGTCCACTCATCCTCACAAGTAAGAGCTCTCCTGAGGAGTCAACATAGTTTGACACAATAGGTTGGGGCAGGGCCAAGACCCTGTCCCATGCATTAAGGTTGAGCATGACATCCCACAATAGGGAATGGGCTCCAACAAGCTAGCTCATGAATTCTAGACCAACAGAGGTAGAGACTCCAGGTGACTGAACCAGGCCCTCCATATGTGGGAGACGGTTGTAAAATATATATTTTAAGAACACTGCTAGTCTTCACATAGATCATGATTATTTTTTAAAAGTGGTTTAACCTATGTATCCTATAATAGTAGACCTGAGATGTATGTTAAATAGAAAATATTCATTAGTTTCCTCCAGTGTTATACAATGCAATTGAACAGAAAATCAGCACCATCTGTAATTGTACTGTAATTGGCAAAATAATTTTCAAAATGAGATTATGCTGATTAGTTCAAATTGAGCACACAAATTAAGCATGTGTGCTTCTGCCAGACACCATTGTTTGGAATGATCAACAAAAAAGAGCTACTCCTGAAATTTCTGTCAATGGAGAGGAAAATACCAATGGAGAACTGAGCCAACAGACAGGTTCCATTGACTGACTATGCTTGTCTCAGGGTAGCCTGGACACAGTTCATTACTAATATCCTATTTCACAAACACTCATTGATCTCTGCATTTGCATCAGATATTGTTCAAATACTCTGAGGCCAGAACTGTCATGAATATCACAGTCTGTGCCCATACAAAACTAAAAGCCCAATCTACTAGACTGATAATAATTAAGTAGTCATGTAAACCAAGGTGAAACTGCTTAAAAAATAATGTAGAAAAGGAAGTGGATGGTGCTCTGTTGTTCAATGAGAAATCTTGGATAGGCTCCTGACGGATCCATACCTGAGCTAAAATTAAAAGGCCTCTATGTGAGGAAGGAAATAATCTTAGAAGGAAATATATAAGGTAATATGTGGTGATATTTTGTTTATGATCTAACAAATAAACCTTGCCTGAAGATCAGAAAAGCAAAGCAGCCAAGCCACTAGAGAGTTCTTACCTCTACCAATGCTAAGATCAAAGAGGAGAATCCTGTCCTCAGAGTGACTGCAGACTGCAATGCTTTCCACCAAACCTCAGACTACCCTGAGACTTCACTGAGCTCCTGCCTTTTGTTCCTCTAGTACTGCAATTAAAGATGTGTCACCCCAAGTGCTGGGATCAAAGGTGTGAGTTCTGTTTCTCTTTTAGACTGATTCATACTCATGTAGCCAAGGGTGGCCTTGAACTCACAGAGATCCATCTACCTTTGTCTCCCTAGTGCTGGGATTAAAGGTGTGTGCCACCACTGCCTGTTCTGCATGGCTAACTTGTTTAGGTATGTGACTAATTAGTGGCTTAGTGGGTGTATGTGTGGCTAACTAATGGTTCAGTTCTTAACTAGGTATGTAGCTAACTAGTGACTTAGCTCTGCATTCTGATCTTCAGGCAAGCTTTATTGTTAGATCATAAACAAAATATCACCACAGTAATACTTTATGGAAGAGACACTTGAGACAATCAACAAGCATTAAAGATGGGAGTATGGCTGCTTACCTTTCTCTTAAGAAAACAGGAAGCACTGAAAAGTAAAAGAAAGAATAAAAGACCACTTTCGTGCTTTATAAAAGCCCTCATGGTCTACGGTGTGTCCAAATGGTAGGCAAGGCTGGTGTGGGTTCAGGCAGGTCAGAGGTTATTAGGGGATTGAGGAGTCTGATAATGAGAACTTCCACCATGCTGTTTGCTCTGAAGATGCAGCAAAGTGGGCAAATGTAAAGAACATGACAAGAATTATGTGCACTTAGTGATGGATTGAGT